GAATCCTAGTAATGATAAGGAAGGGTGCCATGTGGATGTAGTGGAAAAGGCCATGAGAACAGCCAGAGTCTGTGAGGCAGCAGCATATCAGCTAGTTCGGCTGAACTGGGGGAGCCAGTTGGAGAGAGAAGTAGATAAGCAGGTCAGAGTAGGTGGTTAATGTTAGTCGCTCAGTCTTGTGTCCGATTCTTTGCGACCCCACGAACTATAGCCCACCAGGCTCCTCTGTCCATGGGATTCTCCAGGCAAGAATACTGGAGTGGTTGCCATTCCCTTCTCCAGGGGGTCTTCCTGATCCAGAAATCGAACCCAGGTCTCCTGAACTGTAGGCAGATTCTTTACCTACTGAGCTACCAGGGAAGCCCCAGGTCATATAAGGGCCTGGTAAGACATTTTTTTTTTTTTAAACACTTTTAGTTTTTACTTTGAATGAGATGGTCTGGTTTTGAGTGGCTTTCCAGGTGACTCAGTGGTAAAAAATCCACCTGCAGTGCCGATCTCTGGGTCAGGAAGATCCCCTGGACAAGGGAATGTCTACCCGCTCCAGTATTGTTGCCTGGAGAATTCCAAGGACAGAGGAACCTGGAGGGCTACAGTCCACGGGGTTGCGAAAGGTCAGATACGACTAAGGGACTAAACAACAAGAGTTTTGAATAAAGGAGTGAAATCATCTGACTTGTGTTTGAAAACTTTTTTTTCCTGATTACGTTGTTATCTCTGCAGCAAGTTGCGGAAATGTTGAGACCTCTGTTGGTAGACTATGGCATTTATCTGAGTTAAAGGTCACAGTGACTTGGATCAGTGTGGTAATAGTGGAGGTGGTGAGAAATAGCCAGGTTCTAGACTGGTGCCTAAACTAGAGCTGGTCAGCTGTGAAGAGGGGTCATGGTTGACTCCCAAATTTAAGGCCTGAGCAACTAAAGAATGGAGTTACCACTTAGTGGTTTGGGGAAGAGGAGAGAGGGAGATCTGAAATCATTTTCAGTTTTGCACTTGCTAAATTTCCAAATGAAATGTCAGTATACAGTAGTGTATGTGGAACCAGAGTTCAGAAAAGTCTCGGTTGAAGATATGAATGTGGGAATTGTTACTGTGTAAATGATATTTAAAACCCTAAGAGATCTCCAAAGGTCGGGTTCAGGGACCTCAGGACATTTCAACATTTGGAGGTTGGGGCAAGTTACAGACTATCCCCCAGGATGGGGGTGCACCTGTTCCTTAAAACCCCTGTTCAAAACGGGTGATCCTTAGTAACCAGAAGAAGGAAATAGTTAAAAAGCCAATCATTAGCTGAGAGAGAGTAAGGAAGCGGATGTGAAAATCTGAGAAGAGAGAGTTGATCTGGGACAGTGGAAGAATAAATGGACTAGGGAAATATGAGAACACTGGGCAGTACTCGGAGCCCACTTTTGAATTTAAAGGGAGACCAGCCAGCATATTTTTAGATGTTTACAAATTTACTAGTAGTAGGCATTTGATATTTTAAGTAATTTGTGGATAGTTGGGGATTTTGTCAGCAAAAAACAGCTTCAGGTAGTAGGTTAGCTGTTCTTGGTTTGTAGCGTAAAAGGGATTGTTAATTGTGCGTTACATTCTTATCCTCACTATACTGTTTGCTAAGTGTTTTTGGTTGGACTCACCTGCCATTTTTCCAGGCTGTGAATTAGATGTAGAAAATACAGCAGTCAGGTAGTAGCCTTCGCCCTAAAGAAGCTTATTTCTAATTGAGATGTCTGTTCTTTGGAAATGTTCCCTTCAAGTTGGACGCGTGGTTTGAGATCACTGTGTATGTATGAGAGGGAAAAATATTTTTCTAAAATAATAAAATTCACTGAATTTAAAGTGTGATTGTTCCAATTTAGGGAAGCGTTTAGGTGGAGAAGTTTCTTAAGTGGCTGGTGTAACTTTGGGGTTTATGTATTTTATTTATTTATCTATTTTCCGGTGTTTAACAAAAATTCCAGAACCTACTATGTGCTAATTGTGCTACCCTCCCAGATACAAAGGTATATATGACTCAATTTTTGCTGTCAAGGAACTCACAGGTCAGTTTTGGGAGGGGCAAGGGTCAGATAAGATAAACTTGACTGCAGTGCATTGTTATACCTTGTGACAGTAAAGATAAATAATAAGTAATTAGATTGTATCTGCTTAGTGGAAGACTTCCCAGGAAACTGATATTAGGTTCACTCTTAAAAGAAGATTAAAAAAAAAAAAAAGAGAGAGAAGATTAAGCATTGGCCAAGAGAAGGGGCAAAGGAGGGGCCATGGAATTAAATACATATTCCGTTTTTCCAGTTGTTGGTTACTAGGTGCTAAACACAGAGCAACCTGTGACATTAGAATTATCTTCAGTTTACAGATACAGAGGTTTGGAGATGTCAGGTTTGTTGTCCAAGGACTCACAGCTTACATGAGGATATCAGCATTGAAACCCATGTCAGTCCAGTTTCAAAACCTCTTAACTGCCTTACTCTGTTGCCTGCTGTAAGCATTTAAATCTTTTCAGTCCTTGTCTTTATCCCTTAGCCAGTCTTTCTACCAACTTCTGTTCTTCATTGGAAAAGCCTCCTACCTGTCTGTTTTCAATCCACTGCTACCAGTCTAGGTCAGGCACTCATTATTTTATGCCTTAGTTGCTGACATTGCTTCCTGGCTATCCTTTCTCTGACTCAGATCTCCTTTTGTGCACTGCCACCAGATTTGTTGTTGTTGTTCATTTGCTAAGTCATGTCCTACTCTTTGCAACCCCATGAACTGCAGCTTGCCAGGCTTCCCTGTCTTTCACTATTTCCCTGAGTTTGTTCAAACTCACATCCATTGAGTCAGTGATGTCATCCAACCATCTCGTCCTCTGTCGCTTCCTTCTCCTCTCAACCTCCATCTTTCCCAGCATCAGGGTCTTTTCATTCCATCAGGTGGTCAAAGTATTGGAGCTTCAGCTTCAGCATCAGTTTTTCCAATGAATATTCAGGGTTTATTTCCTTTAGGATTGACTGGTTTGCTCTCCTTGTAGTCCAAGGGACTCTCATGAGTCTTCTTTAGCACCACAGTTTGAAAGCATCAGTTCTTCAGCTCTTAACCTTTTTTATGGTCCAACTGTCACATCCGTACATGACTACTGGAAAAGCCATAGTTCTGACTATACCAGATAATTGTTTTTATTTCACCATTATAAAACCTCACAGCTTGTTGGATAAAATTGAAAACCTACAGTTATCTATTTGGTATACTTCATGATCTAGTTACATTATATATTTACAAATTTGACATTAAAGGAATAATAATTGCTTTTATGTCTCAGCACTTACTGCGTCCAGTACCATGTCGCATACTTTATAGATTTTTTTTTCTAGAACAACCCTGGTAACTTTTACAGTTAAGGAAATTGAGACTTAGTGAAGTAAAGTGACTTGCTTAAAATCATGTGTGGTAGTAGAACATGTCATGGTGTCAGCTCTTTCGTTGTCTACTGCTGTTCCCAATATGTTTCCTAAAAGTTGGCTCATATATTGCTCCTGCCACTTCCTATTTTTGCTGATGCTATATTGCCCTGCTTGGGTTATTTGTCTTTTCTTCTGTCCATATTTTACCCATTTTTCAAGTTCAGTATCTTTTAAAATTCTTCCCTGAACACTGTAAGTTCTGTTAATATTTAAATTCTTCCCCTCCTCCCTTATGGAAGCACTCACAAAGTAACATTTAATTATAACCATGGACATTTTGGAGTTGAAAGGGATGTTTGACAATTAATATGGTATGGTGGAAAGAATATGAGATTGAAAATCCTACTGCAGTAGAGGAAAAGTACAGGTGCAGTGAGGTTCTGCCTGATTCATGCATGGAAGAAAGGCTGTTTTGAGCAGGATCCTGAAGGCTGTCCAAGTTGGAAGGCAAGGTGGGGAAGGCTGCTTTAGGTTAGGAACCACCAGCATGAGCACAGCTGTGGAGAGGACACGGAAGTGCATGGTGTGTTAGCAGATTTGTAATCAGTACCTTCTGGGCAGTGCCTGTAGGGGCTTCCCTGGTGCTCAGACAGTAAAGAATCTGCCTGCAATGCAGGAGATTTGGGTCCAGTCCCTGGGTCTCGAAGATCCTTTGGAGAAGGGAATGGCTCCCCAGTCCAGTATTCTTGCCTGGAGAATCCCCATGGACAGAGGAGCCTGGCAGGCTACAATCCATTGGGTTGCAGAGTCAGATATGCCTGAGGTTTTTAAAAAATGATACCACCATCGTCGTCGTCGTCGTCATCGTGAAGCCCTCAGCGTCTGCCACGGAGCTGGGCGTATCGAATGATCAAACTGTGACTCTATAGTGAGTATTACTAGCGATGCTCAGTGCATAATTTTTGGTTATATTTTCCTTTACTCTTATAATTCCAGTTTACACTAGCTAATACCTTTGATTATTCTAAGTTCTTGAAGTTTTTGACTTTTAAACATTTTTTGAGACACTCTTGTTGGTTCTGTAAATTATGATGACAGATACATCTTATAGTACTAGTACTGTGTTACAGGCATTATTGTAAGTATTCTACACGTATGAATTTAATTTTCATGTCTCTCTTACATGGTCAGTGCTATTATTCCCATTTTACAGATGAGAAAACTGAGACAGAAGTTAGCGGTGAAGAGTTCACTTTAGATAAGCAGTATACTTTTTTGGGGCTTGAGTGGATGTTGCAAGTATAGTTTCACTTTGGCTGTGGTTTGTTAGTTGTATATGTAATTTTGAAATGGTTACTTCCATGATCTCTTTAAATAAATAATAGCTTTACATTTGGAATTTGTTGTACTGATTTTTGCATTCATTCTAAAGAATGCCCACCATGTAGTTTTTTGAAGTAAATCTTTATGGCATTCTTGATTTCCTATAATCTTTGTTTTGGAGCAGGTTCATTTATTCTTACAAGGATCAGACTAATATTCTTCATTTTATTTTCAGTTTGGCTTTGGCTGAAAATAATTTAGCCTATATGTACTGCTTTCACCACTGGAAGAATGACAGATGACAAAGATGTGCTTCGAGATGTGTGGTTTGGACGAATTCCAACTTGCTTCACCCTGTATCAGGATGAGATAACTGAACGTGAGGCAGAACCATATTATGTAAGTATGCTGGTGGTGGCAAATGGGATGTCAGAACTTTGTCCATTTCTGTAAAGAAAGCTCTTAAGAACCAGGGGGCTGGTTTTCAACACGTTGTACACAATTAATATGTGCTTATTATGGAAAAAAAATTAGGAGACACAGATCTGTGAAAAGAAGGAAGTAAGAATTGCCTCTAATCCTACTGCTCAGAGGATAAAAGCACTGCTGACATGTTGATACAGGACCTTCTTGATTTTTTTTTCTTACACATCTATAGTATATGATAATGAATCATAAGTTATGTGTGGTTTTTTAACAGGAAGCTATTTTGAAAATGATAGGTTCAGATTGGATTCTTTTGTATTCAAAGCAACTATTTAAATTCTTTTTGATAGCTGAGTGAACATATGAACATGAGTGTGTATTCATATGTTCATGAGTTAATACAGAGAATATGAAATACACTGTGTAATAACATAAATTGTTGCATGTAGGCTTGTGGGTTTGAGTTAGTGTATTATCTGTTCTAAAAAGAGAGTATCAGTTATCTTCTGATTTTGGTCTCTTTTTTTTTTCTTTTCTAACTGCTGATATGATCCAAACTTAAGCATCTGTCAGTCAGAGATAATAGTATCTTGCTTTTTCACTAAATAATCCCTAGTAGGCAAAGACATTCTCATTTACTGTCATTTTAGTTTTTCCTTTGTGTCTCATGTACAGTCTTCTCAGGTGGCGCTAGTGGTAAAGAACCTGCCTGCCAGTGCAGGAGACATGAGACATGGGTTTGACTCCTGGGTTGGCAAGCTCCCCTGGAGAAGGACATGGCCACCTACTCCAGTATTCTTGCCTGGAGAACCCCATGGACAGAGGAGCCTGGTGGGCTACAGTCCATAGGGTTGCGAAGAGTCAGATACAACTGAAACAACAGTCTGCACGCACATCCAATATTATTTACTCAGGAAGATCTGGAGAAGTAGAAGTACATCTGTGGTGCGGGACTGTCTCTTGTTTCACTTTAGAAGAGCTTGCCCTTGGCTTTCTCCCCTGTGTGCTGGCAAGGCAGCACTCGTCCCCTACCTGCCCCAGCTGGGGATAGTCAGACGGCTGGAGGAAGCTCCTTTAGGGGCCTGTCCTCTAACTTGTTGGGTATAGGAACTGTTTCGTTTTTCTCTGTGCATCCTTGAATCTGGAATATATCACACAAATGGTAGATACTCAGTGCATGAAAGTCTCTCCACCCCCATGTTGGGGGTTTGTTTAAATTTTCTGGGTTTTCTAACTGAATGATAATTTCAGAGAAATTGGGTAGTCTTTTGTACTTATTCAGATAATCATAACTGATTATATAAATTTGAATCATTTTTACTTTGGAAACACAACAATTTTCTACTTTTAGAAAAACTTCCATGGTTAAAAATGAAGAGTGATCATAGTTTATTTTTAGACACATTTCATTTGTTAGATGTATTTTCACTCTTCTCCCTCTGTAGTTTGGGTTAGGATATCATTTAAGTTTGTTTCCAAACTAGCTTTTGCTATTTTAATGAAAACTTTTAACCTTGGGCAGCTTTCTAATAGTACTTACATGAAGGAGTGTATTTGTGTCCAGTTGGTCAAAGTAGTGAAAGCTAAGAGTTATATGATTTAAGACTGTTTACTTTTAAATTAGAACATGATGTTTGACACATTTTCTGCACTTAAAGAAAGCAAGTAAAGAATATAATATTTTACCTTCCTTACCTATAAATCTGCTTAAATATGACAAGACCATTGTGAGAACTAGAGGGTAAGTTATTATTTGTTTCTAATCGAATTAAAAATGGTAGAGTACTGGGATTAACTGTTGGAGGAATAAGATTGTTTTTAATACTAATTGATTTTTTTTTCTTGAATTCTTCCTAATTCTTCACCCAAAAGAAACTCTATATAGTCATTGTGATCATGTTTTTGTAGATTATTGGGTGACAGGCATATAATAAATATTAAACAAAGAACTGAACTTTAAATCCATGCAGCATAATTCAGATTTTGCTCTTTAAATGCGTGCATGCATAAGTGTAGAGAAGGAAATGGCAACTCACTCCAGTGTTCTTGCCTGGGAAATCCCATGGGCAGAGGAGCCTGGCAGGCTACAGTTCTTGGGGTCACAAAGAGTCAGATAAATACTGAAGTGTAAGAAAGAAAAAGTGATGGTGTGAACACTCACCTAGAGCCAGACATCCTGGAATGTGAGGTCAAGTGTACCTTAGGAAGCATCACTACGAACAAAGCTAGTGGAGGTGATGGAATTCCAGTTGAGCTATTTCAAACCCTAAAAGATGATGCTATGAAAGTGCTGCACTCAATATGCCAGCAAATTTGGAAAACTCAGCAGTGGCCACAGGACTGGAAAAGGTCAGTTTTCATTCCAATCCCTAAGAAAGGCAATGCCAAAGAATGCTCAAACTACTGCACTATTGCACTCATCTCACACTAGTAAAGTAATACTCAAAATTCTCCAAGCCAGGCTTTAACAATATGTGAACCATGAACTTCCAGATGTTTTAGTTTTAGAAAAGGCAGAGGAACCAGAGATCAAATTGGCAACATCCGCTGGATCATCGAAAAAGCAATGGAGTTCCAGAAAAACATCTGTTTCTGCTTTATTGACTATGCAAAAGCCTTTGACTGTGTGGATCACAATACACTGTGGAAAATTCTGAAAGAGATGGGAATACCAGACCACCTGACCTGCCTCTTCAGAAACCTGCATGCAGGTCAGGAAGCAACAGTTAGAACTGGACATGGAACAACAGACTGGTTCCAAATAGGAAAAGGAGTACATCAAGACTGTATATTGTCACCCTGCTTATTTAATTTCTATTCAGAGTACATCATGTGAAATGCTGGGCTGGATGAAGCCTGAGCTGGAATCAAGATTGCTGGGAGAAATATCAATAACCTCAGATGTGCGGATGACACCACCCTTATGGCAGAAAGTGAAGAAGAACTAAAGAGCCTCTTGAAAGTGAAAGAGGAGAGTGAGAAAGTTGGCTTAAAGCTCAACATTCAGAAAACTAAGATCATGGTATCCAGTCCCATCACTTCATGGCAAATAGATGAAGAAACAGTGGAAACAGTGGCAGACTTTATTTTTTGGGGTTCCCAAACCACTGCAGATGGTGACTGCAGCCATGAAATCAAAAGACGCTTACTCCTTGGAAGAAGAGTTTTGACCAACCTAAACAGCATATTAAAAAGCAGAGACATTACTTTGGCAACAAAGGTCCATCTAGTGAAAGCTGTGGTTTTTCCAGTAGTCATGTATGGATGTGAAAGTTGGACTATAAAGAAAGCTGAGTGCCGGAGAATTAATGCTTTTGAACTGTGGTGTTGGAGAAGACTCTCGAGAGTCCCTTGGACTGCAAGGAGATCTAACCAGTCCATCCTAAAGGAAATTAGTCCTGAATGTTCATTGGAAGGACTGATGTTGAAGCTGAAACGCCAGTACTTTGGCCATCTGATGCGAAGAGCTGACTCGTTTGAAAAGACCCTGATGCTGGGAAAGATTGAAGGTGAGAGGAGAAGGGGATGACAGCAGATGAGATGGTTCGATGGCATCACTGACTCAACAGATGTGAGTTTGAGTAAACTCTGGGAGTTGGTGATGGACAGGGAAGCCTGGCGTGTTGCAGTCCATGTGGTCGCAAAGAGTCAGATGCAACTGAGTGACTGAACTGAACTGAAGAAAGAAAATGCTGTATACAAAACCACTAGCGGTGGTTACTATTAGAATTATTATCAGTAAACATTTTAGTGCCAGTATGATTTTAGTTCACATGTCTCTTTGTTGTAAATTAAGCTTGAAAGTATTTTTAATTGCTTTGAGTTATAATAATGATACTGTTTTAAAGAGCTAGATGAAATGAGATGAAAATTTGGCCTGAGAGCTAGTAGACCTCTTTCCCAGACTTTCTTAGAGTTCAGGTGAGGTGATTCAACAGGGTTGTCATTATGGCCTGAAACGTCCATTCGTGTTCAGGTGGAGGTGCAGGAAGGATAGGTGAATGGAAATGTAGTTTCCTTTTATTCATGTTTATAGCTTCTTTCTTAGAAACTAGATTTTAACATATCCACTCTGTACCAAATTTGTAAATTAAATAATTTTTATTCAAAGAGTCTTCCAAGATTTTCTGTTTCAGTTGGAAAAGCTTATTAATGTTAGATATATTTCTGCATTTTGATTTGTTGGCTCTATATAAATCTTTCAGCCAATTCTATTTATCATATCATTAAGAATTATATCTTATATTACAGGGAGTATCAGGAAAGAACTTTCCTAAAAACAAAGCAACTTTTCAGTTTTTGTTGTTTCTGTTATATTCATTTGAACTGTTAACTTTTCCTTTAGATTATCCAATATAAAACATACACACTAAATTGCATTCATATTTTGTGACTCGTTACCAGAGGTAATCATGCAGATGTGTGGTAATTGATCTGAGTAGACCCTAAACTTTTCCCAGCAGTCCATTAATGTTCCCATAGTCAACTGTGTGTGCCCTCTGCTAGGAATCCTTCTCTGAGCCCTCACCTCACTTCCTACTTCACAAAGAAAATAGAAACCACGTGACCGGACCTTCCTTAACTTTCTGCCACCAACTCTGTAAAGCATATCTGCACAGATAACATTCACTTTTCTCCTGTTTTAATGGAAGAGGTGCCCTTTCTTCTCGGGCAAGGTCCAACCTTCCATCTGTGTTCTGGATCCCATCTTCTGCCTTCTCTATTTATTTTACTTTCAACTTTTCCTGTCTAGTGACAGCTTCTTTGCAGCATTTATATTGTCTCAGATCCTTCCTACACTGTAACAGACCTCTTTGACCCCATCTTTCTTTCAACCTCTTGCTTTTCCTTCACAGCCAGACTTAGCAAAAGGATTGCCTGTACTCATTGTCTCCTTCCCACCTCCCACCACTTCCTTCACTGTAATCATATTCTCACACTGCTCCAAAAGAACTGTTCTTGTTGAAGTCCTT